TCTCAATCAAATCTCCTGGTCCCTTACCAAGCTTGTGAAAGGTAGTATAAGCCATAAGATTAACAGAAGCACCTCCATCTACCAACATTTTACTCATCGGCTTCCCATCAACAAAATCTTTCACATATAAAGCCTTCAAGTGCCGATGCTTGACTAGTTTATCAAAATTTGAATAGACTTCTTGATCTACTGGAGCTCTAAACTCTAATGGCAAAAGAAAAGCTATTTGAATATTAGCCGATGGTTGACCCTTATCGGCTGTTTGTTTAGCACGCCATACTTGAGGTTTACCAGATTTCTGAGCCTGTTCTAACTCTCTACTCCTTAGGCATTGTACCCTTCTTTTTCTGACTTCTTGTTAAACCTCCTGGACACCATTGCCCTTCCTACCAAACATACTCTTCATCATCACCTTCTTCTTCATAATCAGCCCAATTTTGATCAACAACTCGCTTCCCAAGTCGATCATGAACACTTCTTTTTTTTAAGCGCCGATCCATATTATCATGATGATACTCGATTCAAGCATGGATAGACCGGCGGTTGGCATGAGATTGCCTAAACTCCCAATATTGTTCACTACACTCTGAGCAATTATTTCTAGTAGGCAACTTCAAACCTTCATTCCAACAATGTCTGAAGAAAGGACAATTCCAATGTGATTCAGCTTGTTTTCTTTCATACCTCTCATCTTCTTGTTGACGCTGGTATTCTTTCTCTTCTAACCAACGCTGATAATCCTTTTGTTTCTGCCATTGCCATTTATTCAACAAAATTCGAGATGTAACACGTGGCCTCATTGCCCCATTTCTTGATGTCTCTCCCTACTCATATCGGCTCTTCTATTGGTCATGACGTCTTTTAATTTCTCTATATTCATTAGCCGATATTTGCATCTCTGGATCAACTGTTCCAGTTTCTTTTGCTCTAGTTGATGTTAGGACTTTAGTCTTCCCTTTGAGCAACTTAGCATCAACCATATTTTGATCTCTTGGGAAAGGATTATCATCAACTTTCATCTTCCGAGGTGTATCAAATTTAAGCTTCCCTTGCTGAATAGCCCTCGGTATATGTTGCCGGAAAATTCTGCACTCATTAGTAGAATGAGAAGTAGCGTTATAAAATTTGCAGAACTTCTTATTCTTCAACTGATCAGGAGGTAACATAACATGATTGGCAGGCAATTTGATCTGTCCTTTTTCAAGCAAGAAATCAAAAAGTTTGTCTGATTTTGTGATGTCAAAATCATAACTTTCTTCAACTCCTTTTCCCTAAGGATTCGGCACCATCACTGTCTTCTTACCCCAATTCCATTCGGCTACAGCAATCTCCTCTTCTTCTTCATCCTCACAATTATCATCAACTAAATATGGATTATAAGCTTCAGCAATTGCTGCATTCTTCTAGAATCGGGTATCTGTGCGCATATTCTGAAATTGGCTATTAAGTGTTGCCACCCGTTGAGCCAACTGACCTAAATTGTCAAACTCTTGCCGAAGCAGTTTTTCTCTCTATGTTGGCAACATTCCTTGAACAGCCAAAGCACCTAGTTGATCATCAATCAGATTCAATGAAAAGCATAAATTTCTAGTTTCCCGAAACCTCTGAAAAAACTCAGCACCCGATTCATTAGTTCTTTGTCTTATGGTCGTCAAATCTGTGATTTTCTTTTCTCCTGTCCCATTATAGAAATATGTATGAAACTTATTCTCCAGGTTAGTCCAATTGGCAATAGAATTAACTGGTAACGATGAAAACCAGGTGAAAGCTGGTCCTAACAAGGACAAAGAGAAGAAACGAACTCGATGAGCTTCTTCAATGGATGCTTCACCCAACTGTGTAAGATACCGACTGACATGTTCTATTGTACTTGTGCTATCCTTACCAGTGAACTTAGCAAATTTTGAAAGCCTGTAATTTGTAGGAAGAGCAACCAAATCATACCACTCTGGATATGGACGCTTGTACAAAAAGGTCTGCCCTTTTGGTTTTAAACCGAACTGATTCTTCATCATTTTAGTTACTATGAGCAACAACTCATCAGCATTAAAATTTAGATTTTTTTATAATTGCTGGCCCATCTACGGATTAAAATTTTAGGTACCTTGATACCCTGGATTTGGAATCATACGAAGGGTATTATAATGTGCCATAATGATATCCTTGTGGACACTACTAGGATCCAGCCCTGTCATGATGCCTATATTGGGTTGCAATATGGCAATTTTGGTCGCAATACGGATAAATTGCATCTATGTATGGTCGTTGACAAATGGTTGCATTTGAAACGGTGCAATAGGTTCTTGCATCCTTTTGAATGTGGTGTTGCAATATGATGTTTTTGCAATGCACATAAAAACTAATGCAACCACGATATGGTTGCAAGCACGGATATTGCGACCAACAGAATGGTTGCGTGAGTTACTATTGCAACGAAACACGTGGATGCAATATGATAGTATTGCCACAAACGAACTTGTCGCAAAATCGCTTTATTGCCACTCCATTGTTACGTGGGAATATGGCCATACTATCATGCAGTGTACTCCATTGCATCAACGAAATCTTACAACGTAACAAATTTGGCGGCTAGTCACAATTGCCATGCACATTGCGTGCTTGCAATAAGTTCTTTGGCCACGTTCATTTGCTGGTTACAATAAATGATAATGCAACGAATTATTGTTGGTTATAATAGATGGGAAACACAACGAATCGTGGTAACAGATGGGAAACATAACGAATCATTGTTGGTGGTAATAAATGGGAAATGCAACAAATCATTGTTGGTGGTAGAGATATCCTATAGCAACACATAAAATTTGTGGCAATAATATATATTGCAACAACAAACAATGGTTGCATAGGACATTTTAGCTAACGCTTTTTTTCTTTTTGTAATTAGATATTTAATTGTTGTTACAAAATAATTGCGCCATGGGTAGAGATTTCATCATCACATATAAGAACTCAAACCTTCATTAACTTCAAACATGTCTCAACAAAAGTAATAACACAACGACCAAAAAACTGCTAAAATAAACATGACCACATCATAATAAAAACACCATCTCTGCCTACAAGTGTGACAATGTTTGGCATAATAAAATAGAACTAACTATAAGTTCGTTTATTTGATCTCTTCATGCACCATCTGCACAAGCATTCACCCATAAACCTTCCGCTAATTCTTCTAGCTGTTCATCACCAGCATTTAGCATAAAGTTTTCTATAAATATTCTGGTTGTCCACGCTTTACTGCAAATCATGAACATGCATAGAATTTATTAATTTAATATAGTAACCTTGGTGATTAAATGCATGGAATAACTGGGCATGTGCAAATTTAATGATCATAGTGACATAGCAAAGATATAAAGTAAGGAACACCCTGCAAGAATATCATATACCATTTGGGATGATAAGATCCCACTAGTTTGATGGACTTCACTAACAGATGCATACATAGCTTATTACCCACCATTTCAGCGTAGGCAAGAGATTTCAGTTTAATTTTGAACCAATTAGATATGGCATTCCACAAGTATACATTAGAACATTAATGAGGTAAGCACTAACTCTGAAAAAACTAACTTCAGTTTAATTATCACGCTCCAGGTAATTGATGTAGAATTGAATATGTACTGGAAGTCTGGAACAAGTTAAAGCTGCAGATCTCAATGGTGGTATCAGGACTATTTTGTTCAGTTGTTTATAGAAGCTCAAATATGCATATCTGAGGACAAGGCTACAGATCATGAATTAATTCAGGATAGACCATAAGTAGCAATCTGTTCAACTAATACTATTTTAAAAAATGAAAATACAGGATAGAAGCCTCACCTCCCTGTCCTTTCCAAACTTGCAGTTTAGAAATTCAAGTTCCAATGGACTACAAATCTTTTATATACAACCCTGTACACAGAATTTTGAGCGGATTGAACAATGGGCTACGAAATAGATTGAGCAATTAAATACTTTTTGCAAGGTTCCCATATCCTAGGCCATGAGATCATTGCAATCAGCAAGACAATCACAAGGGTAGCATATTGCACCTGGCTTCTTAGAGGAAAATAATCAAGCACATAGTCTGCAGGCCCTGTGAATGAGAAATAGAGATGGTGAGCAGCATGTTGGGATTTAAAACAAGAGCAAGCTAGTATTTCTGCAACTCATGACAACAGCTTGAAACAAAGAATGTTACAAATCCTATTATTGCTCTTTTTTAATCTGAATTTCCTTTCCACTTAAAAATTACTCTTTGCAACTATGACTGTGTGGTTCAATACCCCAATTGGTTCAGATTTGATGCATCATCAGATCACTCATTTTAACAATAGCAGGACAAGCGTAGCACCAAAAAAAGGGGGGGAAAGAGGAATTAACATCAGTTAGAAGAGACCCTGTATATAATAATTTTATAGTAATTTATTAGTGTATAGGGATCATAGGAAATTTTGATAAGAAGCACTTATTAACTTAGAATTCAACTTTATTATCACAAGAAGTAAATTGTACAGATCAGGAATCCATGATAGATCATAAGTAGCAATATATGTTAAACTATTACAATTCCAAAAAAAAAAATACAGTACCAATCTGGTCAGCTCATGCTGCAGAAATATAGGACATCCGTGCAAAAGGCTACCCAATGGGAAAGATTTTCCAATCAACTAAGTTCAGAGTGAGGGTGAAAAATCTTAAATAAAATGATCAAATTATAGAATCACCCAAACAAAAGATCAGAGATTTTCCAATCAATTAAGCTCAAGCACCAGGCCACAAACAGAAGAATGTACTATCTAGCTATATTCCGGCTGCAGACCTGCAACACTTGTCTTACTGAAAACAGATTCCTAGCTAGCAACCAACGCCTAAGACTTATCTACTCTTTAGCCTGGACTTGAATAGAATGTACAAGCAAGCTTCGAGAGCTGGTGCCACCGTCTCTCGATCTATATGTGCCAGATCACGACGGTGGCAGTAAAGCACACCATAAATTACACACGGAAGACCTGCAGAACAGCAATGAGCCGAACAACCTTGTCGACTGCGTGCAGGGCGGCGCCGTGGCCGATGATCACGAGGTCGTAGTCGAACCCGCCGCTCCCGGCTGCGCCATTGCCAGCCGTTAAAAGGAGAAGGGACCCGGACCTCTTGCCTGTGGTGGCACGGGCGGCGTGGTCGACGAGGACGAGCATCTCGTCGACACTAGCGTCCATGGAGGTGGAGGCGAGTTGGGCGAGCAGGGCGTCGGTGCCTTGTCAGAGAAGAACAAGATGCACTTCATAGATACGACTGGCGCCGGAAGCACATCTTTGCCATGCCACCGACACAGCACGCCGCACCCAGGAACTCCATCATCCGCGCAGATCGAGGCAAGCTGGAAGAGGGACCACCCGGTCGTCAGCCGTCGGGTCTTGGTGCCCTTACTCTCATGCCGCGGCCACCGGTGGCCTGAGATGACGAATCTGCGCCCAAGCGTCGGAGACAACATGGGTTGGCCTCGGATCTGCGCCGCATCAGGCGGCGGCAGGAAGGGGATGAGGCGGAAAGGGCGGCAAGAAGGGGAGGAGGCGGAGAGGGCGGCTGGGTGGTGGAGGGGGAGGGGGCGGCTGGGAAGGGAAGGGGAGGTGACGGCTCTATGGGTGTGTTTGTATGGGAATGTGTAAGAAGGATGTCGGGAGGGGTTTTTGATACTAATAAAAAAATAAATTATAGAATCTATTATGAAACTATGAGACGAATCTAATGATACTAATTAATCTGTTATTAGCACATATGGGTTCATGTAGCATTTAAGGCTTTTTATGGACTAATTAGACTTAAAAGATTCGTCTCGCGATTTTATCGAGAACTGTGTAATTAGTTTTTTTCGTCTGTATTTAGTACTCTATGCATGTGTCTAAACATGCTCTTTTACTGTAGGAGGCAAAAAAAAATTTTTGAAAACTAAGGCCTTGTTTAGTTCAAAAAAGTTTTCCCAAAAAAATGCTACAGTAGCCATCACATCGAATCTTGCGATACGTGCATGGAGCATTAAATATAGACAAAAAAAAACTAATTGCACAGTTTGGTTGGAAATTGCGAGATGAACGTTTTGAGCCTAATTAATTCATAATTGAACACTAATTACCAAATAAAAACAAAAATGCTATAGTAGCTAAATTTCCAAAATTTGACCAATTAAACAAGACCTATACTAGAAGAAAAGCTTTGTGGATCCACACACTGGTGGGAGGAGAAGGCGGCATTGGAGGAGAGATAGATGGCGGTGGGAGAGATAAGTTTGGATTATAGGGCGGCATTTTGACCGCCAAAATTTTCACTAATTTTGGCTCTATTAATATTTATTATTTTTAATATAATTTTTAATTCCCCATAAAATTATTATAACTATTGTCAAACGTTATTTTATTATAATATAAAGAGTGAAACGTTTTAGAGGGAATCACCTAGAGCCGATTCTTGTTTTTATATTAGCTGAAAGAAACATTCGAAACCTAATTCTGTACTCATATGTGTATATACATATAATTTATTTGATTTTTAGGCATATGTTGTTCAAACTACTCATATGTGTATATACATATAATTTATTTGATTTTTAGGTATATGTTGTTCAAACTTTAAATAATTCTAATAAATCGGTATAAACACATTAAATTGAAGGAAAAAACATATTCTTGTCAAAAAAATTATAGTTAAATATTTTACATAAAAATATATGCAATCATGGGTACGCTACCTCTGTTTAAAAAATCAATTCTAGATTTTGGATAAGGCAATGTTTTTTATTTTGACTAGGTTTTTAGAAAGAATTATCAATATTTATATCGTTACTAAGAAAATACTTATATTGTTACTTATTCATTTTTCATTATAGAAATTTTAGAGTGTAACAATTATATAGTTAGAATATGCCTTGACCAACGAGGCAACGATCAAGATATGTATGCATGAGAACTAACAGGGGAGCAGGTGTCCATGTGCACCAAGGTCGACACAACACATAACTTGCTCTTGATCTTAGCTAACTACAATATAGAAAGGACAGCTCCAACAATTGGTTTTTAAGTTAGCTCTAAGTATTTTTCTCATATTTTAATAGAAGATAGAGAAAAACTAACTCTTAAAGCACCGTTTTTAAATTAGCTTTAAGCATTTTTCTCATATTTTAATAGAAGAGAGAGAAAAGCTAACTGTAAGGGCACCCGCAACAGGACATTAAGGGCCATCTATATCAGTCCACGTAGCAGATCGGGATGGTGAGAGAGAATACGCTGCCGCTAGACCTGACGAGCATCGCAACACTACTTTTCATGCATGTGGATCCCACCAGTGCAGTCCACTTCTTTCACTCTATCTACCTGTCCGTGCTCTCTCTCTCTCTGCTTTTTGATTAAAAAATACCATGCAAGCTCCACATAAATTTAGATAACTGTGCTGTTATAGTATCCAAAATACCATGCAACCTAATATGACTACTGGACAAGAAATCTATAGTGTTTGCTATATCCTACATGACATACTATAGTGAATATACTATTGCGGGTGCCCTTAATTAAGAGCTAAGCTCTTGCACACATTTTAAAGTTACGTGACAGGGTCATGTGGGTCCATCCATGCCAAAAGCTATGTACTAAAAGTTAGCACTATTAGAGAGGTTGGCTTAAAGCTAGTAACTAGCTAGCTCTAACCATTGTGGTTGCCATAACCATGAGTGCACGAAAACTAGTTAAGCTAGCTAGGAACTGAAATGGAGGACTATGATCTCCTGTTCGAGTGCTCTGCTCTGCTCATGTCCTAGAAAATACCTCAATTTTCTCGGATTTTATATCTAATCATTTACCTAGTGCAATATACGGGCATTACCCTACAATATTAAAGAGTCGAAGGTTTATCCTATTTTTTGTCCACCTTCCCCAACTATCAGACAGGGAGAGTTTCTTCTATCTGGACTTATATGATCGATGCTCATTTAAGTTAGAATAGCTTGCATCTAGCGATGATTGATATGGAATCGGATTTGAAGACATATTAGGTTGTGCCCTCCATATCTCATATGTGACCCGGACTGAGGAGTTGTACTCATGAGTTAGAGAACAGCTCACGTCTAACGATTATACAGAGTCAAACTTTAATATGTATTGGATTCTGTTGCAACATTTTGGTGACTGGTTGGTTAAAGCCCATTATAGTCATATTTTTTTATAGTGTTTAGTTGAAAAGTAACTAAATAGGACTAGATTTAGCTGACTAAATTTTAGGAGGGGCTAACCAAACAGGCCCTAAGTGGATAGGCCAGATTCAACGTTGTTTTGGCCCTTTACTATTCAATATTTTAACATATGTTCTCAATCTAAATTAAGAAATGTTCAATAAATTATAAAACAAAACCAAAACAGCTACACTTCTTTTTACATAATATGTTAATAGAATATTTTAGATAGACCAAAAATGTACAATACCCAGATTTATTATAAGTTGAATAGAATTACATGTGTTGCAAAAATGTTCTTTACGTAAAAAAACTGTATATGTGAGTAAATTCATAAACCTTAACACCAAACACAAATTAGGAAGTAAAAAAATCTAAATGTATGTATGCATCGGATCCCTTCCAAAAAAAGCTTAATTTATATAAACGTTCTATAAATAAAATTCACAAAAAATCTTTTTTTCATATCCTATAGAATATAAATAAATCTAAATAGAATTATGCATCCGATCTCTTCCCTCCGTTAATTTGCGAAATATCAAATTTCCCGCCGGACGGTCCAAACTCCAAACTCCAAACAGGTTGCACGCGGGCCTTTTTTACCCAGGCGATGCGACTCTTCAGTTCATCCCCATCTCGTCTCTCTTGGTCATCTCTTCCTGAGCCGAGAGTTCAAACTCCCAAATCCTGGGCACGCCGGCGGCCGCACCCCTGCCCGCGCCTCTAGAAAACCGACATCTGTTTCCCCTGCTGCCTGGACGCCACCGGCCACACCTCCGCGCGCTGGTGACTGAGGGCCTTTGCCACGCCCAATCCTGCAGCCGGGCTCCTGCGCACGCATCTCTGCACCGTGCTCCTCGGTTCGCTCGCTGCGGCGGCTGAGATCCGCTTGCGCAAGTGGTTGTGCCAAGATTCGGCGGAAGTAGCCGATGTCCTTCCAGCTGCCGGCTGCTGGCGCCAATGGCTGTGTCCTGCTTGGCTGCCAGTGGAATATTGTTGTACTTTGATGGAATTACTAACTACTAGCTTTGTATGCGATGCGATGCAGCTTGGTGCGCAGATGTTCCCGGATTGAAAATGCTACATTCATATTCTTCAGAAGATGCTAGAGGAGTTGAGGAAAGCACATGTTCCTGGATTGGAAATTCAAGTATTAATTTGATTAATCATATCCATCTGTACGAGTTGGAGAACTGCTGAAAACAAACTATTTGCTAGATTTCACTTTCCTAATATCCTCATTCAAAGAAGTAATTCACAAACTAAAATAGAAGGGACAAATGTAACAAATGTTTGAGACTGTAGTACCATTTAGTATTGGGATTTTATTCACAGTTTTTCTTTTTGAAAGTGCATATATTTAACAACTATTTGCTAGATTTAATTTCACTGCCATAATATCATAGTTTTTTCAATAACATTTTCTTGCTGTTTGAACTTCAATTTCCTGGCTCAATGCAGTGTTGCATATGAGACATGTTTAATTATTTGTTTGCTTCACGAAGCTGCTTCAGTTTTATTTGAGTTAATGCTACTTGTGTGTTACTGTACTAGCTTTTCAGTGGTAAACTTTTCAGCCATACAGGTAACTAAAAGAGAACAGTATGTGATAATAGGTAGTTCAGAAATTTTGATTGTATATTCACTGTTAAATCTAGGCAAGATGTGGTATATGTTTGATTAGATTTTTTCTTGACTAATATATTCTCAACTGTGAGCTTAGAATTTGGCCGAACAAATATTACATCTCTTTCTTAACTAGCTTCTGATGGATGAACAATATTAGTTTAATAGAGGGCATGGGATGTACAATATTGATTACATGGATGAACCTCCTGATGTCTTCATGCCTTGTTTTAAATCAAAGATCTGCCATGAAGCAGTCAATTTATTTTCATGCCTTCGGGCTGACAACTGACTATATGTGTGGTTAGCACTTCTCTGCTCTTTGTTAACTAAGATGCTCTAACAACAAACTGTTATGTGAAACAAACCTTTTGT